GATGGACTTGGACAGGCTCAGGGAACTGCTAGGTGGAGTTGCCTCTTGGGAAGAAATTCCTGAAGAAAGAGAGACAGAAACGTAGTAAATCTATCAACTATTCTGATGCAAATTCAAGATGGAACTCGATTTGCTGTGGTTATTTAAGAACCTTAGTGATACAGAAATTGCATAGAAATAGCAAAAAATAAGTGCCTGAAGAAGGGCCGCTAAGAAAGTTAAGAGAGTGGAGCGTCTGTCATACGAGGAGAGGCTGAGGGAGTGAGAATTGCTTAGCTTCCAGAAGGCAGCTCAGGGGAGATTTTATCAATGCGTGTAAGTACCTGATGGGAAAGACATGGAGACAGATTCATACTAGCGCTTTCCAGTGACAGGACAAGAGACAACAGGCACAAACTGACAAACATGAAATGCTATTTAAATATAGGGAAAAGTTTTGTTTTCCCTGTGAGGGTAATTGAATACAGAAAAGTTATGAAGTGTCTGTCCTTGGAGATACTCAAAGCCCAGCTGGACAGACTCCTGGGCAACCTGCTTTAGATGACCCTTCTTTGAGGAGACTGACTAGAATGACTCCAGAGGCTCATCCAAGCCTCAGCAGTGCTGTGATTAGCTTCTGTAACATTAGCTTTACGCTACCAAACCTTGCCACAGTGTCACGTAACACAGAAAAAAAAATAGTGGTGATGTGAATTTTTGTAAGCTGAAGACAGGGTCATTTTTCTCAATTCAGGTACTAGATCATGAACTGGGAGAGTCAACAGAACGGTGCTGTTGAGGAAAGAAAAAAATCATTCTAAGATGGGTTAATACTGCTTGACATAGGATGGGCAAGGCCTCCCATGGGATACAGCGTTCAGCTTTGACAAATTAGGGAGAACTCACTAGAGAGTAAATGGAAGCATGAGATTTGGGTGTTTTGTGGTTTTTTGTAGAAACGAGAAGACATCTTCATTAGCCTAATCACTGGTATATTCAGTGGACAAGTGAGAACATACATGACCTGTGACATGTCAGCATTCTTCTAGTTACTTATTTCTCCAATTAAAAAAAAAAATGTAAAAAGGTTAGATGCTTTTTTTTCTTTTTCCCCCCAAATGTGACCCCTTAGGTAGAAGAGGACCTGTTGGACCCACTGGACCTATGGGAAGATCTCCTGATAGTGCTTCTCCTGGTCCTCCAGGTGATCAAGGACCACCTGGTTTAGATGGCATCAGAGGTATTAAAACTAAAAGTACCTAATTCAGTCATGTAAAAAGCCGTTGAGACTACTAGAAGTCACTGGGTTGCTGTCTGTAGAACAACATATAAAAGTGCATAGGGAACAAAGAAACCAACCAATACCTCCATGAATACACAGAGGTGAACACCGGATAGATCACCAGAGCAAGGATAAAATACAGATCTCCAGATTCAGTTTCCTGGCCTGTAAGGTAATTCTGTACAACTCCTGTTGCTACAACATATCTCAGTTTCCACCAAAGCAAACACTAATAAGATTACTGGTTCCTCATCCTAGGCAAGAAGGATAAAACACATTGTCCAGAGCCTGCCTTTGTTGGTAAACCCACAAAAACCTTTCTGATTTAAATCCAGCCCTGGGAAAGCTAAAGCTGGACACGCTTTCATTAGCATTTATTTAGACCTCACTTCTGTTACAAGTAGGGGTTGCCAGTTCCTATAGGTTCTGGTCCTGAAATGGAGCCCTTTCAAGCTGTTCTGACCCCCTACATTAAGCATTATCTGAACCCTTCCTTACCCAGTACAAAGACTTACTTCCTATTGGGAAGCAGGGAAGGTAGATTAGAAGGGTAACCAACCCTGTAATAAATATGGAGAAACATTGTCTCAATGCATGTAACATTAACTTGCAGCCTTTTGCTTGCACAAAATCTACATAGTTTGGGGAGCTATTTCTATTATTGTCTTCCTTACAATACCTTGGACAAAGGCTAATGGTAGTATTGCCAAAAAACATGCAAGGGCTTTCCTACATCCCAGAGGTGAAAAAAAAAAAGGGGGGGGAATCCCACTGGAACGTCTCTTTTTAGATGTTTATGCTTGTTCTTATATTAAAAATAAAACTCTTTACCATAGGTCAGCCTGGGAAACCTGGTCCTCCTGGAGAGACTATCTTTGTGCGAGGAGATCCAGGTGATATCGGCCTTCGGGGGGCACCAGGTAACCCTGGGCAGCGAGGACGACAAGGAGCCAGAGGTCTTCCAGGGAACCAAGGAAGAGGAGGCCTAAAGGGTATGATCTCAGATGTTTTTAACCAGCATGTGCATTTATGCCCAGCCCTATGCAACTGAGCTTCATGCACAGGGAATTGCCATTGGAGACTGAGCCAGACATTAGAAGTAGGCTGGACATTCATTACTCCGCCCTGTTACCTACAAATAAGATCAGGAATATCAGTGTAAAGTCAGGCACATGTACTGCTTCAACAGCTTGTTGGAAGACTCTCTGGCCAACCTGAGGATGAGGCAGTAGAACTTTTGAGTCTTACAGATAAAGCAAACCTTGACCTCTTTTCAGGGGGGTTGAGAAACTATGGATGATGCAGATGTGTTTGAATTAAGAGTCTCACATATACCCCATATTAATAGATTTGGGCTTTCAACAGATTCTTTTAGTTTGAAAACAGGGATCTAGATACTCTGCTTCTTCCACATGCTGTAGAGAAGTCCTATCTACACCAAACTCTTCTGACCTCTAAAAAAAGAAAAGTCATAGATTTTAATTCAGTTTGAAACCGGGAAGTGAAGAGGGAAATGTGCATGTCTTTCTGTGAGAGAACAGAGTTGAGCTGTCCCAACTGTTTTTTTATTACTCAAGCAGCCAGACTTCCTCTTATTAATGCGTTCACCTTCTTGGGATGCAAGACACATGTAACTGCATAACTGTTTTTTTTCCAGGTCCTATGGGAAGCCATGGCCCACAAGGTCCACCTGGTGCTACAGGACAACCAGGAGATGAAGGTTTTCAAGGAAAACCTGGTCCGAGAGGTCCCACAGGTATTTATGAACTTGTTGCTCATTGTCACTCAGTTGTAACCATTCTCTTTCTGTTCATGTATCAAATCTTACTAATGTTTACTTGCATGCAGACAATTTAAACAATCTCAGAAAAAACCCAACTTAAATGATTTCTCGTGCGAGTTGTGTAAAAATTTCTGAACTATGTTTCTAATGTCACATCATGTTAAGTGATTCCAGTTCTCATTCCATTCTTTAATTTACATGCCTGAAACTTGTTTCTGCCTGCACCACGATGGCCACAATCTGCTCTCCATTTTTCTAATCCTTCAGGTTTCATAGGTAAGTTTATGACTATTATTTTTTTTTTTTATATGGGCTTCCTTCTGTATAAGTACATCCTAGTCTTATTGGAAGGTACTCTTGGCTTGGCTACTAGAAATAGAAGATACTGCTAGAAAAACATAGTTCTAATAGATTTTTCATGTAAATAGCTAGCACTTAAAAGCAGACCAATATCATGATAATGCTACACTGAGAACTCTTATGCTATGATGTCAGTTAGACTAGTAAAATGCACTTGTTTCAAGTTACCTTTTTGGGTTTTGCTTGTCACACAAGATGCTTTCTAACCAGCAATTTAGCAAACGCTTAAATCCTAACACTGGATTACTAAAAACACCAAACTATTAATCTGACTGAATTGATCCAATTCTGCTTTTGTTCCAACATGCAAATAGCCAGTAGCTCCCAGTAACTTTCAATACATAAGATGCGGCCTTTATTTTTTATTTTTATAATTATTTCAAATGGATATTGTGGGTTAGCTTCTTTGGCCTGCTTATTGATGGTTTTGTAGCCATGTAATAGGCAAAGTACCATAAAACACTGTGCTAAGGTGTTTGTGTGGAAGTTAAGTAGACTTCAGGCTATAACTCAGATCAGTTTACAACACATTAAGACACAAACTGTACACCAAACATTTGAAACATATCAGCTAGCATATACTTGCTAACATATACTTCCCATGCTGTTAAATGCTGCTAAAAGTAAAATTAAAAGCAGTGAGGCTTACTAATTCAAGATTTTTAAATACTTGAAGTATACACTTGAATAGCAAAATCAGTTACATTGTTTTTTCACATGGGAGCTATTAACCAATCTTCTGTCTAATTCACTTTCCTGTTACACATTCAAGGTGACCCTGGTGAACCAGGAAAAACAGATGATTCATGCCCTACCATCCCAGGGCCTCCTGGGGAAGCAGGGCAAAGAGGAGAAGATGGCTCTGTGGGATTACCGGGGCCAATAGGCCATCCTGGACCTCCAGGTAAGATTTTGTTTTTAAAGCTTAGATGTCTATTTTAGCCATTTAGACAACAAAGTGAAAAAGGTCAGAAATGTCAGTGTTGCTTCTCTACGTTTTACCCTCTCTCTCTCTCCCTTAACCACTTACTGATGGTCTCCATAAACATGTAGTGGGCTCATTAATGCTGAGGATGATGGATCAATATAGCTGAACCAGGCTGCTTGAGCCTGCCTGCACTGCATTCCCTTATCCTAGGCCAGGAAGGGGAAAAGCATCAGGCACTGTTAAGAAAAAGAGTTCAGTTTCAATGAAATATCTAGTTTTATGTATCTTAATTAATTTGCCAACTATAAGATATTTCTGGGGTTGAATTGTTGTTTTTACAAAAAAAAATATATAAAAATAATACAGAATTAAAACAGTTTCTGTAAAACCAGATGATACAATGATAGATACTTGCTTTTTGTTTCATTAAAATAGCAGTATTCCAATTTTCTCCTGGCTTGGAAGGCAAACTGGAGGTTTTACTTGCAAAAGAAGCAATGTGTATTACCAGAACTTCAGTGTACATGAGCTTTGGTGAAATACCTACGCAACCAACATTGAGAAGCTGTTAAATTGTTTTGACTGGTTTAGATTTTCTTAACGAATCCAGTCAAAAGTAATGTGGGGAAAGGTTGAATATTGTGAGACAACCTTGAATTACTCGGTCTGCAGGTTAAATAGCAAAATTTGCAAGGAATGAAACACTCTGTTAATGAGAAATAACTGTTTCTTACCAAAAGAGGAAAACCACTCCTGAGTGCAGTAATACCCGAGAAGTGTAACTTCATTCAATTCAGATTGTTTAAAGTAGCCCGTGAACAGGATCATCACTATCTGTACCCTGTGTGTGGGACTTACCTTTTACTGTTGTGGCCACACCTTCTTATCTGCCAATGTATAAAAATGCATGTACATATGGGAAATATAAAAAGGTGAGGCCATCAGGAACCTGAAAGCACCTTTACCCTTCCCAACTGGATGTAATCCAACCCTGCAGTCCCTCCCTGTTCTGTAAGCACTGTAATACATGCATTACTTCACAGGAACTTCAGTACATGCTTAAAGACTTTGCTGAATTGGATTCTAAAAGATGAAGGCCTGCCCCAGGATGAGTTATAACTCGTTACATGGTACAGATAACGATGCCATACTGTATTGTGTATGTTCTGCAAAAGGTTTGTCCTGATCATGTTTGTTAGTGCTTTGATTTCAACTCTAAGTCACACAAGATCTGTAGAGAGGGCATAAAACCTTATCAGCAATTGCTGTTGCTAAAGGCATGCCTCTGAGCTAGTCCTCAGCTTTCACCACAAGTTGATAAAGTTGTAAAGAGAATTCCCAGCAGAAAGCAGTCCTGCACCTCTTTGTCCTGAAGCATCATTTCTTGGTAGTGTCAATTCTGCTGGCTGGCCCTTTGCGTGCTCTGTATGTTTGGACAATGTATAACCGTTAAATGCAGCCAGATGAATGGAAAATACGTATTTTGTATTCATGTAGGAGAAAAAGGTGAAGAAGGGTCATGTAGCCTGCCAGGTCGAGATGGCTTACCTGGGGTACCTGGACCTCCAGGTGACCAAGGGCATATAGGACAGCAAGGATATGCTGGGCCACGAGGTAAGAATGGAACATGACTGTTGGGGGAGAGATGTGTGAGATGATGTAGAGACTAAGTTTTCTCTCTATTCCTCCAGTTCATATATGAATATATCTAACACTAGCCTGAGATATCATGACCTTTCTTTCCCCTTCTCAGTTCAAGCACTGATAGTACCATCTGTGAATGATTTCATAACATATATAAAGACTTACTGGAAGAGAAGTTATCTCAGCATCCATTATTAACCAGAAAGGCAATTAACCACACATGCTTATACACCATGTATCAATAGGTATGCATTTCTGAGTCAGGGCTAATGGTGGAACTGTCTGTGAGTAATTAAAATTGTATGTTAACTGTGACTGCTGTTTAATAAATGAATGGTTTAATACATATGCGAGGAAAGGGCATTGACTGCTACTGCAGGGATTCAAATTCAGTCCAAACAAGTCATCCTAGTAAGTCTGGGAAATCATTACCCACCTCAGTTCATTTCTTAGCACAGGACAGAAGCACAATAGAAAAGCCAACTGTCAAGCAGCCAGTGGCAATCTAGGTCATGTCTCTCCCATAAGAAGGATAACATCAGTCTACTGGTGTCTTTATTGCCCATGACAACCTGCGAAGTTGTATTATATTCTGTCAGGAACCCCTTACTGAACACTTAAATACAGCAAAAATTCACACTAGCTATGTATTCATACAAGTAAATATCTTCTTCCCTTTCTCCTATGTATAAGGTCCACCTGGCCAGACTGGCATCCCAGGGCCACCAGGCCCCCATATCAGATCTGCAAGTGGATTCTTACTCGTCCTTCACAGTCAGTCAGACAGAGAACCACTCTGTCCGCAAGGGATGCCAAAATTATGGACTGGCTATAGTCTGCTGTACCTGGAAGGACAAGAGAAAGCTCATAATCAAGATCTTGGTATGTATAGTAGTACATAATTGCTCTCTGGTTAAGATCTGGTATGGATTGATCTATACAGTGAAGGACAAGCCAAACGGAGCATACTATAGAATCATCAATTACTGATTTTCTACAGAGTTAAAACTATTTTATACTGATTATAATGAACTCGTGACCCATTCAAATGGGTTTCTGCTGTTAGGCAGTTGAATAAAAGAAGAATTTTAAAAAATTTAAAAAAAAAAAAAAATAAGTATTTCTACCTTTGAGTAATTTGGATTAAAATTACTGAGATTAGTAGTTTTTTTCACTTGTCCTGGCTAGTCATTTTGGGCTGTCTTTAAACTCAATGGAGAGATTTTCCTAGATCAGGAATCACATTTGGCCACTCTGAAATAACTCCCTGGAGGATCTGCTCCTTTTTACTTTAGAGACAGCCTGGGAAAAAGCTGGTTAAGTTAGGTGGTTACAACTGGATAGTATAAATGTGCTTTACAAATAAAATTATAAAGCATATGTACAGCAGAATTGTGTGCTTTTGAAAGTCAGAAGCTAATGTTCTTTGTAATAGACAAATTTCTCCCAAATACAGCTGCTTTTGGTGTCTTGGGTCATCTCTGTATCTTCTACAGTTCTGACTAAAACTAGCTGTCTAAGAAATCTGATTGACTTGCAGCCTGAGAAACTGATTGGCAGCAACTTGCATAGAAGAAATACCCTACGTTCTTGTTGACGTGCTATACAAGAGGCAGGGAACTCTCCTAGGAAAGGCCAAGGACTTAATAAGCTGGACAAAAAAAAAAAAAGTGTTTAAATGAGTAATAAAAAGAGATATTTTTAGTTCAGCAGTGTTGTTCTGAAATGTTTTCACTACTGTGTGTTTGGCATTCCCCAGGAGAGCCAGCTGCTAACAGAATGCTCTTATAAGCCGTTCTGTTACCAGCTGGCTCTTCTGCCAGCATATAACAGTGAAAATAAGATTCAGAGAAAATAAGGTCCTTATATCCTGTGACCTGTGTGTTCTTTTTCCTGCATTTTCCTTACCTAGGCTACTCCAGATCCTTTATTAGTACTGGAATGGAATATTACCAGTAATAAACAAAACTGGCTTCCTTATAGAAATATCACAAGGTGGTAAGATTTAAGGGCATTACAGAAATCATACATCACACACAAAGTTCAAGGCAGAACATACATGCAGTGCTTACTGTTGGTAACTAAGTAGGTCATTGTGAAGCTGCTCCAAATTCAGTTCTGGAAGAACATCATCTCTGAAGTACGCACTAGTCACTTCTTAATTCCCACTGTTCTCTGCCTAATGAGCATTTTGCAGGATTGGCTCTACAAAATCCTTTTATTGCACTTTGAGAGTCTGTGAGACCTTTAGGAAGGCAGTAGAAAAGCTGCCGAGATTTCTGCTTAATGCACTGATACCAACAGTATTTGTCATATGTTACAAAATTTTTCTATTTATCAGCACTGGCATTTGGTTTCTCACTGCTCCTGATGAGTCTGTAAATAGCCAATCTCCCCTCAAACCAGCCGCCACCTCTTGCCTCATTTATTTTTCAGCATTGGCACAGCTAAGAAATCTGTTATCATAAGCATTTCCCATGCTGACAAACTACATCATGTTTAAATACTGGATTGTGACAAATATTATTGATCAAAGGAAGATACTTAATGGTAAAAAAAGTTTCTGTTTTCGTTATAACTGGCTATTTTGGTAGAGGGCTGGGGAAGTTTAAGATTTGTGAGTTACGTAACTCCAGTTAAGATACAGAGTTTTGCAGCCACGTTGGCCAGGATGCTATTGTCAACTTTCCTAGAAAGAAGGGGAGTAAATTTCATCATTTGTTATTATTTTCAGGTCTGGCAGGATCTTGTCTTCCTGTGTTTAATACCATGCCATTTGCTTACTGTAATATCAACCAAGTTTGTTATTACGCCAGTCGAAACGATAAGTCTTACTGGTTGGCGAGTGCTGCTCCTTTACCAATGACACCACTGTCTGAAGAAGAAATACAACCATATATAAGCAGATGTGCTGTATGTGAGGCCCCAGCCCAAGCAGTAGCAGTTCACAGCCAAGATCAGTCAATTCCTCCCTGCCCGGAGAACTGGAGGAGTCTTTGGATAGGATATTCCTTTTTGATGGTAAGAGCTTGGGCACATGATCACATATATAAGTATCTTTCATACAGCTTTTGTGTTCTAAAGATTCAAAGATTTTTAGGGCTGAAAAGTAAACTATCCAATGTGTAGCAAATATTAAAAAAGGAAAATTCATAAAAAGAAACAAGATGAGAGTTAGCTCCAAATTGCAGAACCTGGCTATAGCCATATATATACTAAAGTCACAGCCTTAAACTACGCATTTCTTAACATTACAAAGATTTTGCTTGCTTGTCTTTAATAAATAACGTGATTTTCATGTACTAAGACACACTTTTCAGAATTAGAGGTCCAAGTCTTTTTAATGCCATCGCCTAGTCACATTTGCAACTGTTTAGGTAACAGCATCATTTAGAACTGACCGGGATTACTTCTCTTTAGTTTGATAAATACCAGAAAATATAAATTAGCTGGCTCTAGACTTAGGAGATTCACTCATTACAGAACAAATTAAGATTTTTTTTCCTGCAAAGGAAGCTTATTGCAAGTTAAGATCACCGAAAACAGTACAGTTAAAACCAGATAAAGTCAGGAGAAAAGACAAATCAACATAATTTACCTGTTTTTCATGCACAGTTACCAAGTTCTTCCATTGTTCTTCCCAGCACACTGGATCTGGTGATCAGGGTGGTGGACAGTCCCTTATGTCACCTGGAAGTTGCCTAGAAGACTTCAGATCAGCACCATTCATTGAATGCCAGGGTCAGCGGGGAACATGCCAATTTTTTGCTAACGAATACAGTTTCTGGTTAACAACTGTGGTACCTGAATTGCAGTTTGCATCAGCTCCCCTATCAGGAACTCTTAAAGAAGGACAAGAGCAGAGGAGAAAAACCAGTAGATGCCAAGTATGCCTGAAGCATGGCTAACAAGCAAAACAAACCCAATTAAAATTAATTGAAAAGAAACAGTAGCACAGTGATAAAACAGGTGAACTTATCTGCGTGATTGAATAGAAGAAGTGTTAGGTCAGTTGTCTGAACTTGAAGCTACTACATTTTATTCATTTTTTGCTTCTTTTTTAGAAGTACACCACCAAAAAAAGAACCACCACCTATAAGATACTTACAGAACCATAGCTCTTGAGATGCTTTTTATTTTTTAAAGCATTGATTATTAAAATGTTTATAAGCCAAAGCACTAATCACCTTTTGAAAAAGTTAAAACACATTTATGCCTCCTTCGTTCAGCTATAAACCCAGAACTGTTAAATGCGTATTTGAATCATGGTGAAACTACTGAAAACACAGGTAACAAATGGAGAATTCATTATGTGCAGCAGGGCCACAAATGGTCCTTTTACCACTTAAATGAGCTGCATTTTACTAGAATGGAATAAAATGTTTTCCAGCACTTTTCAGTTTGTGTTCACTAAGAGAGGTGCCCCAGCAAAAGGATTTTCAAGGAAACCAACATCCACATCCAAGGGCCCTAATTCAAAGCAAACTCTCTCTGAAGCCATCACAACTACAACAGGCTGATCAGCCAATTTAAAGTTGGATACACAAACTCAAAGAGCAGGAAAGACAGACATTCCAGTCTCAGGCAGAGGAAAATAAAACAGTCAGAGGGTAAGTCCATTCAAGTGTAAATACATTCAGATGGTGCTACTTCCTTCTGACAGGTTGAAGTCAAGTAAGATGGAATAAGGAGTAAGACAAGTAAAACAAGCAAGATGGATTTTTGAATTGGACCTGTGTTCGCAAGTACACGTCTTAAAGACATCTGGGAGAATCAACAACAAAAAGACCCAATAATCTAAATAAGACATTTCATGACATTTTACTTGTTCTTTTATTTAAAAACATCATGCAAACCAGTCATGTTTTTCTATTATTTTGATGCAGATTTTTTGCACCTGTGCCAGCTGCAGGTTCTGTAAGTACATACTACATTGAATATATATTTTTAAGCTACCACTGATAGGTTAAATATTGAATAGGTGTGTAAATTCCCATTTCATGCTTAGCCCACTCGCTAAGGCATTTGTCAGAAATACTGTACTAATTCAAAATGAAACTGCAGATAAATTGCTTAATATTACAAAGCAAATAAACCAGACCAAAGCATAAAGCAGAGTATGCTTTCATTCTGCAATTGTTTGCCCAGTGACTACAAGCAGAGAAACAATTGGTAAATTATTCATAGGGAACCTAATTATGAAATTAGATGTAAAAGGGAATAGCTGAAAATGCTCATGAATAATAACACTTCTAAAGGCAATGGCCTTATGGTAGTCCTTACAGTCCACATTACCCTTACTATTGCGTTCAAGAGCTTCGGTTCTTGCATAGGCCCAGTAAAGAAGTGAATTTTATCTTAACCAGCAGGCAGGATATTAATAGCAACACAGAAAATCACAGTGGTGCACTCGGAGCTCATTTGAGTTAGAGCCATTTGGGGTGAACTGCTCTGGAATTAAATTCAGAACCTGTGATTTGCAATGTGGAGACTTGCTCACCCCTCACCCTAGCACACCAGGGCATCTGCATGGCTAGGAAGCAGGGAAGATGCCTGGCTCTGACCCATGGCAAATCCTCAGGACAGGGATCAGAATCTTTTCTCTTCTTCAGATCCCTCCAACATCAGGACTTCTGGAAGATAACTAGTAGAAGAAAAACACTGCATAGCCTAAGCCCTGGTCTGCTGCTCAGAAGTGTGGCTATTTTAGCTTCTTTTCATAAAACGAGACACACAGGCCCAATACTGAAAACATCTTTTGAAAATTTCATCTTTTGATGTATACAGAGCATATCAAAAGGGAGATACTAAAACCAAAACTCACAACAGGTATCACTCATCACAATGGTGCTGCATTGCAAAAATACATTTTTAAAGTGTACTTTAAATTCCTTTGTGTACAGTAGCATTTCTGGATTTGAAGTCCATGATTCACATGCTAAAACCAGCTATCAGCACAAGGTAACAGAAAAGATGCTTAAACTCCAAACAGAGAAGGTGTTTAGCTGGGGCCCAAACTTGCAACTTCCTACAACAGAAGTGCACCTGCCATTGGCCAGACCTGCTGCTCCAAGTCCCCTGGTTGTCATGCACCTTCCTATCAGCAACATCAGGTTGCTGGTTGCTGCTGATATGCTGTGAAGTGCTGACTCTGGTTGGCAGACAAGCACCTACCCAGCAGCTTCCCCGACCCTGAGCAGGACAAGAGAGGAAACAGGAGGAAAAAGAGCAAGAAAATTCATGGGTCAAAAGATAGACAAGGAAATCACCAAGTGCTGGTGTGGGGTAAACAGACTCAACTCAGGCTATTTCATTTATTGCCAATTAGCATAAATATTTAATTACTGATGCAGGTTTTGGGAAACATGTTGACAAACCTTAAAACACCTTTCCTCCCACTTTCTCAGGCTCAACTTCACTCCAGACTCCTCTCTGCCCCCTTATTATTGGTATAGGTCACTTCAGCTGGAGGTGGAGCAAAGCATGGCTGGGGGGGGAGTGTATGTGCCAGGTACAAAGGGGTTTCTCTATGCTGTGCCTTCCTTCTCACTCCTTTCCTGTACTCTTACACTGCTGATCCATGGGCTGCAGTCCTTTTGAGGGTGTACCTGCTGTGGCACAGGTCCTCCAAGGGCTCCAGTCCCTTCAGGGATGTGCCTGCTCTGCCATGGAGTACCCATTTCCTCCAGACCTTGGATTCCTCAGATCAGAAAGCTGATGAAAGACCCATTCCCAGAATTGCATTATTATGTGCAACAAGTTTAAGCAAAACTGAGGAATTATTCCAAGGTAAACTCTTAACCAAACAGTTCTTTCCTACTTTGGCTGGTTCATAAGCACCAGAGAAAAACAAAGCAAAGTATCAAAGCAGGACCCCCCCCACAGAATTCTTCTAGTCCATACATGCTTTTGTCAGTGTTTAAAGCCAATGAGACAAACCTTTTATCCATCAACCCAAGTTGTTTACTTGTTTGAGAAGGATACCCCTAATGTCGTAAAGCACACTACTGAGGAAAACCTAAATTTGATCTGCATCACGCCTTCTGTTCCCAGTATGCAGCTGGAGGTTGCCAGTCTGCAATGGCTGGGTAGCTCCCTGGGACAGCACACAAGAGCACATCATCAGCCCTCAGCAGTTCATTAAGTGTTGCCATAATCCAGAGTCAGGAAATAAACCACATCCACCTGGGGAACTTTTTTTCTGTTGTTCCACAGTGACCACTGCAAATAACACCACTTCCCACCATCCCCCAGCCGGGTGCCCGGCCTCCTCAGGTCCCACAAGCAATCCTTCAATAGCTTTTAATTTAATTCCATTAAATTAAAGACTGCAAAGATGAGGACTTCTGTTCTAATGCTTTACATGCATTGGAAACCTCTGGGCAAGAAAACAAAACCATTCATGACCATGGGGAAGATTTGTAATGGGGAACAGTTGTTTGCAAGAAGGATTGCTCCAAAGCTTGAGCAGCAGTCAGGCAAGGACAGAGCCCACCTGCCTTCACACTGGAATGATAAACAGCTTCTGACAACTCTGATAAAAACTTTCCATTGGGTAAAGCAAGTGCTTCATCAAGACGGGGACCTCTTTCGTGACGAGATCCTGTTCCAGAAATCAGCATTTTCCACCAACCAAACAACAAAATACCCAACCCACATTACATTTGTATGGCAAGCAATCTTTCTCCAATTTTCACAGCTCCTGAAAGAGCAAATGGGTATCAGTATTCATTAAAAGATTTAGAACTTTTAGAAAACATGATACTCCTTTAGAACCAGTTCTACAATTGAAAACTGAGCACTGTTAATATTTCCTTGCCCTCTAAAATCTGGTAACAAATAAGAAATTACCAATTTTATTTTATAGGTAGGAAACAATTAGAAGGTTACAGTAAACGCACAAAATGATTCCGCCCTTCACGTCTGCACACTCCTTCAGGAAACCACAGCACAAACCCAGAAATCTGTTAGCCAGCTGTTCTGTTGAAGCGTGATTCAGTCATTCAGGGCTAAACAACACTGGTTACAACTCACCAGTCACAGAAGCAGACATGAAAATGAACTGCAACACCCATTCCAGTCACATCACAACAGAAAAGGCACCTGGTTCTCCAGCCGTTGATTCAAGTTTCACTCAGACTTGCAATGCAATCTTCAGACACTGCACACCTATTAACTTCCATGGTCAGCAAGCTGAAAGGTTCAACAGCTCTTTGTTCTTGGATTTAAGAGTATATCACTTAGCACATACTATTACGGGTATCATAATTAAAGAGAGCAAGCAGTTTTGTCCTGCAGGCATTTCCAATCTTACAATTATCACAGAGGAGAACAGGCATGTAATTTTGCCTTTATTTGATTGGGATAACTACCTTGGACTAACAATGCTTACAGCTGCTTTGCTCTTATCATCTGCAATTTAAGCTCCTTAATATATGTATAAAAATAATAACTAAGATGTCTGCCATAAAGACCGTTGCTACAAGGACTTTACCCTATCAGGTATGCTCTCTTTCCTCTGTTAAACCTATCAAAACTGGGACTTCCCATCAGCTCAATCGAAATGGTCTCCCCTAGGAAGGTCTGTTTCAATAAAGAATTCCCTTCTCTACCCAGCCACATCATCATTCCACAGACCTTTATACACATCACTTATTTAACAGACCAATACTTAGTCTCTTTTTATCTTATCTGCCTATCTGTGATATGGACAAATTATATCTTATGGTTAAGAGTTAAATTCTCCCTTTCAAGTAAAACTAAAAACAAACAAACAAACAAACAAAAACAACAACAAAAAACAGAATGCTCCCCCCCCCAAAAAAAATACCCACAACACACCCTCCCACAACCAACCAAAAAACCCAGCTTCTCTGAAGTGGGCAGTCCCTTCACCTTTTATAACCAT